AGTATAAACATTTTCCAAATTATGCTGGGCAAGCCTTACGCTAGCACTATGGAATTCTTAAAATAGGATCTGTATATTATTTTGTAGCCTATTGAATCTTGGGTAGGTTGTGGCATTAAATAACTCACTTATAAGATGTAGAGAACAGGGAACCTCCACCTACACTCTTGGTGAGAATGTAAATTGGTACAGCCACTGCAGAAAGCAGTATAAAAGTGTCACAGAAAACTAAAAATAGGACTACCATATAACCCAGTAATTCTACTCCTGGGTATGTATCCAAAAAATCAAAAACAGTAATGAAAAAAGATACATGCACCCCAGTGTTCGTGGCAGCATTATTTACGATTGCCAAAATATGGAACCAACCTAAGTGTCCATCAACAGATGAATGGATAAAGACATTGCACACACACACAATGGACTGCTATTCATCCATAAAAAAAGTATGAAGTTTTGCCTTTTGCAGCAATGTGGATGGACTGAGAGGATATTATGCTAAGTGAAGGGGCTTTCCTAGTGACTCAGGTAGTAAAGGATCAGCCTACAATGCAGAAGACCCCAGTTCAATCCCTGGGTCAGGAAGATCACATGGAGAAGGCAATGGCTACCCACTCCAGTATTCTTGCCTGGAGAATTTCATGGACAGAGGAGCCTGGCAGGCTACAGTCCATGCAAAGAGTTGGACATGACAGAGCTACTAACACACACTATATATGCTAAGTGAAATAAGTCAGACAAAGAAAGATACTGTATGATATCATTTATATATGGAATCTAAAATAAACTAGTGAATATAACAAAAAAGCAGCAGACTCACAGATGTAGAGAACAAACTAGAGGTTACTAGTGGGGAGAGGAAGGAAGGAAGGGGCAATATAGGGGTAAGGAAGTACAAGCTATTAGATACAAAATGAGCTACAACCATATGTTGTATAACACAGGGAATATAGCCAATATTTTATAGTAACTATAAATGGAGTATAATCTTTAAAAATTGCAAACCACTATGTTCTATGCTTGTAACTGATATAACATTTACAGCAACTCTATTTCAATAGATAATTAAATAAGCACACTAATTCCTTGTCATATGTACATCTCAATCTGTCATTATTATTTGATTCTCCTCAGATTTGCAGGCTATTTTTTAGTGTTTATGTGTATGATAAAATGGGAGTAAGGAGGGGCAATTATTACTGGAAACTTACATAACAGAATTTTTACTTTAGTTTCCAGAATCTAATTGCACCAAATTATGGTTGGGTAGACCCCATACCTTAGGAACCATCCAGAATGGAATGGCACAATAAGATATATGAGTAACTCAAGCATTAAAGGGAGAAATCAAGTCAGCTGATACGCTTTTCTCTAAATTGGCCATCATTGAGACCTTAGTTAACTTATGTCAAGTTGCTGCAGTAGCTAAGACTGTCAGTATCAACAGGCTTTCAAACTTAGCATACTAAGTGTTCAGCCTCTTTCCTCCTGGAATATAGAAGTAAAAAGAGTCTTGATGAGCATGTATCACTTCTCTTGGGCTACTGGCAAGGACCTAGGGAGGAAGAATACATGTGCTGTTGATGACAGCCGTTCTTTGTAGTTTTTTGTGGTGGTGGTAACGCATAAGACTTACCATTTTAATCATGTTTCACTGTACAGTTCAGTGACACTAAATACATTTATGTTGTTCTGCAACTGTCACTACCTTCCATCTCCAAAACTATTTCATCATCCCAAACTGAAACTACATACTCATTAAAAAATAACTCCCTATTCCTCCCTTTTCCCAGCCCATGACAACCACCACTCTACTTTTTGATAATTATAATTTTGAATACTCTAATTACCTCAAATAAGTGAAATCATATGATGTTTGTCCTTTTGTGGCTGGCTTGTTTCAGCTATTTTCACTTATTTCATAATCCCTTCAAGTTTCACCCATATGTATATGGATAACATATGTAAGAATTTCCTTCTTTGTTAAGGCTGAATAATATTCCTATATGTATGTACCACATTCTGTTTACCCCTTCATCTGTCAGTGGATACTTGGGTTAATTCCACTTTTTGACAATTGTGAATAATGCCACTGTAAAAATAGGCACACAAATATCTATTCAAGTTTCTACTACTACTTATTTTGTATACCTAGAAGTGAAATTGCTGGATTTTATGGTAATTCTATCTTTAATTTTTTGAGGACTCACCTTATAGCTTTTTTAAATGTTAGAACAGAGAAAGAGCAGTATGTGAAGGGCATGTAGCTATTGCCATTGCAGTAATGATTGAAGTTCTAAGATCTAAATTTCAGTCCTGTCTTAGCTATCTGTAAAATATGTGATCTTGGGTAGGTTACCCTGTTTAAACTTCTCTTAATTCACCTCTAAAATGAATATAATAATGCTTTACTAGATTTTCTTTAAGAATTAAATGAAATTATATATGTGATGTTACTTGGTAATTTATAAAATGCTATATAAACATTTATTAGATAACTAGATCAACTGCCAGAAAAATTCAGCCCTGGTGCTATCTTTGATTATTAAATACTATTATTGAGTTATTCAAATCCCAGTAAAGTTATTCTCTTGGGATCTGTACTAGTGTCACACTTCCATTTTCATTCACCACACTGAATAGAATAGTTTCAGATAAGGAGCTAACCCAAGTAGTTTAATTTTGACCCTAAGCAGATGCCATAGGATCCACTACCAGAGGCTGCCTTATAGCTTCAGGTTCATTGGGAGTTAATGTTGTATATGTTTATACAAACAAGGTCCTCTAGTCCCACCACTTCCCTGGTCTTACAAAGTATGGTCCATAGCTCAGGATAGCTCTAGAATAGTTTCAACCTCCTGAAGGTACCTACAGCTAGTTCTCCCAATTCAGATGTCACTTTCCTTAAAAAGGGTCAATATCACTATCACTGTGGATCAGAGTACAAAATTTAAAATCGGTCTGTACTTCTTTGTCCTGGGTTCTGGAAACCAGAGGACCCAAAATAGCTAGGAATGACAAAGCTAAAAACAAAGACAGACCCAAAAAACTCATCCATCCAGCTCTGGAAACAACAGAATTTCCTAAATCTATACAAACATGTGTAAATCAAGTTCTATATTACATATAGTCTTTGGAGGGAAGTTTGATTTTTTTTTCCCTCCTCTTCTTCTTCCTTCTCTACCTCCTATTAATTATTATATTATTTCTTTAATAGCAATAGTAATGATAATAATGGGATTCCCTGGTGGCTCAGATGATAAAGCGTCTGTCTGCAATGTGGGAGACCCGGGTTCGATCCCTGGGGTGGGAACATAACCCTGGAGAGGGAAATGGCAACCCACTCCAGTACTCTTGCCTAGAAAATTCCATGTATGGAGGAGCCTGGTGGGCTACAGTCCATGGGGTAGCAAAGAGTTGGACACGACTGAACGACTTCACAATGATAATAATAAGGGCAGATTCTTTTTTTTTTTTTCCATTTATTTTTATTAGTTGGAGGCTAATTACTTTACATCATTGCAGTGGTTTTTTTTCATACATTGAAATGAATTAGCCATGGATTTACATGTATTCCCCATCCCGGTCCCCCCTCCCACCTCCCTCTCCACCCGATCCCTCTGGGTCTTCCCAGTGCACCAGGCCCGAGCACTTGTCTCATGCACCCAACCTGGGCTGGTGATCTGTTTCACCCTAGATAATATACGTGTTTCGATGCTGTTCTCTTGAAACATCCCACCCTCGCCTTCTCCCAGAGTCCACAAGTCTGTTCTATACAGAGCAAAGTAAGCCAGAAAGATAAAGACCATTACAGTATACTAACACATATATATGGAATTTAGAAAGATGGTAACGATAACCCTATATGCAAAACAGAAAAAGAGACTCCGATGTATAGAACAGACTTGTGGACTCTAAGGGCAGATTCTGACTAGAGAATTTAAGTAATTGGTCGTGACTCTTGAAACTTTTATTCTTATTGGCATGAAATCAAACTCCTGGGAGCTCACCAAAGATGATTGTTGTCCAGAGTATATGAATAGTGGTTTGAATAGTCACTTCACACAATAGATTACTGATGCTCTTCTTCTAGTCACTGCTTTTTTTAAGTTAATAAAGTCAAATTTTTGGCTAAAGTTAAATAGAATGCTAAAGGAGCTCCTTTCTTTACTTTTCTCTTCTAAAAGAAAAAAATTATAAATATTACATGTGATCATTGTAGAAAATTTGGAAACTTTCAGAAAAGTATAGCATAGGGTATAAAAGTATTCATAATTCTAACATATTGCAGTAAGCAAATACTTTCTATTTTCATGTATGTCCTTCCCATCTTTTTCTATTGATCTATACACATATATTTTAACATAGTTAAGATTATACTTTACATGTATAGTTCTACATGTTTTAAAATGCATATTATAAGAATTTTCTTGTGTCAGTGAATATCTTTATAAAATACTGTATACTATTTACTGTACATATACTGTATACTATAAAATATTGTATACTATTTTGTCATAAGGATACATCACTGTTTAAATTTCTGCATTGTTAATCTTTTTATTTCTTTCCATTTCTCACTGATGTAAGCAACTCTTAAATAAACACATACAGGAAGACTTGTCCATTTTCTTAGAAGTGAAATTCCTGGGTCAATGACTATGACTATTTAAGAACTTACTTTTTAAAGAAAATCATCTTTGAGTTGTTAAAGGGTTTATGACACATCAACTTGAACACTTCTTTGATGACTATGTAGCTACTCGTATTCAAATAACCCCTACAAGTGTTACTATTCATTGACTGAATCTAATCTTTCATTTCAGACACTAGGATGCATCTCTTCCTTCTGTCACCTATTTCTTGGGATAGAAATCAGGAGATCTGACTGAGCCCTTATACAAGCCTTGTCAGACAAGTACTTAATGTCCGTCTTGTTTAGGACCATCTGTTTAACCCACTGCACTCAACATCCATATTTTCCTTTTTTTCTCTTACAGATGGAATGGGGCGAGTCCTTGCTCAAGATGTATATGCAAAAGACAACCTACCCCCTTTCCCAGCATCAGTAAAAGATGGCTATGCTGTCCGAGGTAAATATTTTGGTTTTCTTGAGTATCAACATACTCACATTGGTTTTGGGGGGTTTGTTGGCTTGTTTTGCTTTGTTTTTAGTGTTCTGTTTTTAGATTTTTGGCTCAGCCCAGGTACCTAATGACTGTTACATCTGTTTCCCACTTGTTTGTAAAAATTTATTCACAGATAACAATATTAACCTACACCTATATATTTTCTGGCACAATCTTGAGTAAAACTTCGGAGAAAATACTGTAGTTACTTGAAAATTCTTACTCACAAATAAATATGTAGAGATTGATAAAGACACTGTGCCATAATTCTTTTGGCCTCTACATACACCAGATAGCAGACAGTCTTAGTCTGAAGTTTTCCAGATATTCTCTAGTGGAAAACATCTATAGATCCAAGAAAGACAAGCGAACTCCCACCTTGGGGATCAAGTGGGCCAGTTGTTTTCTTTTGCTTTAAATTCAAACATCAGTAAGAGCTTCATAGAAAGCAAGTGTGAGGGAAACCTCTAAATCCCTAGAAGGTCCTATATTTCAGAGCTCCAAAGCCCCAGATGGTACCAGCAGTTCACGCCTTCAGAATCGCCTAGGATGACATAAAGCTGAAAAGCAAAACATTTGCCTCCCTAAAGTCCAATTTAAGGAAACACAAAATGAAACTGCAACTGAATTGCTTAGAAACTAATACTAGTTATATTATATTGGCTGACATCATTGAAGAAACATCTAAAAACATTCCCCAGTTTATCAGAGCTGTTAAGAATACCAGTTCCTTTTTAATGATCATTTATGGAGTCCCTGACTTGACTGTCTTCATTTTTTATTTTTATTTTTATACTTTTATCTAGCCATTAAAATATGTTCCTCTTTCTTGTGATTAAATATATTCACTGATCTCCTCCATGTTGCATCACCAACTCTAAGGAATATCTTTCTGTGTTGGAGACAGTAGAACAAATGGTTAAAGTTCTGGACTTCAAGCAAAGAAAGAGTGATCTGGGCTCTCATACCAGTTCCATCTGTGTAACTTTAAGCAAATCAGTTCAACTTTTTGATCTTTGGTTTTCTTGTCTATAAAACTGTAATAATTATACGCATACTTACCCCAACAGGTTATTGTGACGACTAAGTGGGACTGTAGAAAGTCTTAAAGTATCTGGCATAAAAAAAAGCTCTCAAAGTTTTTAATGTTTAATAATAGTACCTATTATTATCAATCTTATTAGTATTATCATATTTACTTAAACCATCTCTGAAAAAAGGATAACATTATCTAAACTGTTATTCTCATAAAACAATGGAGAGGTTAATTCCTCCTAGTATATTCTTTCTCACGAAGCTATCTTAAATACACCTAACTTAGCTTGATCTCACTAAATTAGTTGTTTTCGTTGTCCAGTCACTAAGTTGTGTCCAACTCTTATACAACCGCATAGACTGCAACATGCCAGGCTTCCCTGTCCTCCACTCTCTCCCGACTTTGCTCAAGTTCATGTCCATTGAGTTGGTGATGTTATCTAAATTAGAGCTGAAAACAAATAACAGATACTCACTGCCTCCTTTGTTTTTCAAGTTCATTTCTTCTATGATGCTTATTAAGATGAATATTATTCAGAAAAAGTTATTTTAGTGTTCTGATAGCCTCATTGGCTCTTCTTCCTTACTCCTTCTAAAATGTAACTTCTGTCTGAGCTTTTAATTGGTAGCCGTATTGGATTGCTTTGAAATGGCAAAGAATTCTTACTTCCAGAGTAGAACAAACAACTACAGCAGATGAAACACCAAAGGGACAAGAAAGTCTATTTTTTTTACATTCTCAGTAATATAAAGTAGGAGAAAGGAAATATATGAGACAGAATTACTAAATAATAAATAATAATACTATTATTATTATAAATAAATTATTAAATAATATGAGACAGAATTATTCCAAAACAGAATGTTGTTCTGTGATTTTTACATACGGTAGCAGCAGCTCAATATAAAACTATTGCTTTTAGTTTTTTTAGTTAGCCCACATGAACAGTGAAAGAGCCTTTCTGCAACTGTAGAATCTATCAAAGAAATGTATATATAAAATTACCATTTCGACTATCATATTCTATTGTTTTAAAGTGGTGGTGTTTTTAGTTATTTCACACAGGTACACAAACACACAGAGACATTTAAAATGGCATCTCACAGTATAAAAGTTTCAACAGGCAATCTGCCATGCAGCTAATTCACATTATTTCTTTCCTGTGAAGTATTGCTAGTTCTCTAAGATATGGAACATATAACAGAGACATAATACATAACAGAAAACCATCCTGAAAATGGTTACATTTCAAAGTTGGAATGGTTGGTTAATTATGATCAACATCACAATTAAGGCAGCAGAGGTTCTCAGTGAACAAAAAGGCATGGCCTAAGTCTTTTCTGTGTTGTAACACCACCCCTAGGCAGTGTTTGGTAAAGAACAGCCTTGAGGCTGTTGTGGCTCTCTACCACTCTGCGTCCTATGCCTCTTCTCTCCACCCTGTCTTCCTTTACTCCCAGTCCTTCCTCCCCACTCCCTTTATTCTCCCTGTTTTTCTTTTCCTCTGCCTTTGCCTTAGGCCTTCCAGTAATAACCCGTGGCACCTGTGAACATTGCTAACCCTCTAGGTGTAAAGAGGTTCCTAACTTGCTCTGGATCACTAAGCATTAGCCAGTATCCTTCAGAAACATGTGGGATAAAACTCCAAACCAGTTGGAGGATCTCTTGCTTTAAGGTATGTGGGTTGAAAAATCAAGACAGTAACAAATAGCTAAAGAAATAGGAACAGCTTTTAAAGAATAAGAAAGAATAGAGTATAAAGAAGACAGGAATTAATCGATGATGATGTAAACTAATAAATCTAAAACTACATTCAGGAGGAGGAGGGAGTGAATTTGAAAGATATAAGCAAAGAAAATGAAAGTAGCATTTACCAGCTAGAAGCAGTACAATAGTTTTATTCATATTTTTGAAGAGTTATTTCTCCCTTCACACTGATTAAGCTAATCATCTTCTTGATGCATTCACAGCCTCCTATAGAGATGTGGGTGCCCATTGTCTCACAATTGCTTCTTAGTTCGTTAATAAAGGCAAAGATACCTCGATACTAAGTTCACTCTCTTGAAAATATTCAATTTGAAAGACTTATCGCTTCAGAATTACTTTAGGTATCATTTAGGCAAAGGAAAAATTATAAACAAGCCGATAATTATTTTAAAAACCATGTGCAGCAAACAGTTCTGGAAAATTAAGAGAAATCTTTGCATTTTAAGTTAATAAATTTTTTTCTTTTTTACATGCTGATTAAATACATGCTTATGGAAATATAGAAAATCAAAAAGAGCATTTTTCAATTACCCATTATCCCACTGTCTAGCTGCTATTAACATCTATGTACTTCCTCCCAGTAGGTTAAAGTACATACTAAAATTCAGTATAACTTTTTAAATTTTGAGCTAGTTCTTATTCTGTCACAAAAGTCATGTTTAAGAGTTTCTGTTTTGTCCAGTTAAATCCTGTTTGGCCATAGCTGCTTCTCCAATTCATTTGACAGCCTTTAGTATTCCACCTTAGGACACTTTGGATGAAGAAGAGAGCCTTATGATATAGGAGCACTACTCGTGTGAGCCAAGAGATAATTTGAAATAATTAATTTTAGTTAATTCCAAAAAGCTTAAAATAATATATTTAAGGAAATAACATATCTTTTCCCAATACTAACAGTGTATGACCTTTTTTCTCCTGGAGGATGATGATAAAGAATATGAAATGCCTTCCAATTCATCTGTTCTACTCCTTGCTCCCTGCTTTCCAGGCAGCAGTTTTAAAATCCCAAACAATTCTCCAAATTTAATCCCTCAGTATAACTGCAGCAACTATTAATCCTGTTGTGTCTCTACCCTTGCCTCATCATCTACCCTTGCCACCACTCCAAACTCTTTCTATAATGTTAATTTTAGTATACACACAAATACTATTACCCTGTTGCCTATCCATCAGTCTTAGTTTGGTTCTATAGTTAGAGTAAACAAAATCTTAGTCCCTCTGCCTTATTCCTCCATTGAATATACTTCCTAGGACCTCTGAAAGTTATGCTATTTCTCTGGCCTCCATTTATTCAACCCTAATAAGGAAACAATGAAACTTTTGTTACTGAAAATAAGTGAATAGCTATAAGAGATTTAAAGAGAGCTCCCACGTGACTAGAAAATGAAAATGAGGGATAATTCTAGGGCAAATAGCCTTAGGATTATCATTTTCTGTATATTGCTATGTTGGATAGTTATCTAATGCTCTCAATTTTATATCAAATGATATAATCAAATCTTCAAATAAAGAAGTGAACAAGACTAAAAGTGTTTTCACATTAAAAAGGTGGAAGTGGAAGCAGCTTCAGGGTCTAGAATTAAGCATTATAAATTGCTTACACAGTGCATTTGCTGTTAGGATTTGGCTTATATTGCTTTTATCACTTCCTTCAAATTAAATTCTATAGTTGCAAAACATGAAAAGCTATTAACTGAAATGCCAGAATTGGGGGGTGGGGGGCAGCAGTGGAGCAGAAATCCTTGCAATCCATCCATTGTTTCTAATGGTATACTGTGGCTCATTCTTTCCAAGCTTTAGGTTCATCTGCCACTGTACCTCCACTTCTGCCCCCTCCCACCCAAACTGGGAGAATTCATCTTGAAAATGGCAACCTTTTTCTTTTCTTTTTCTTTTTACATATCTCTTTAATAGATTTTTAAAATAAGTATCAACAAGTTAGGTAGATTGATCATTACTTTCCTGCCTGTATAGCAAATAACGAGCCTTGTTAGTGTAAAATCAGAACTTCTGTTGTAGTTCACTAATTTTTTATTTAAGCTTTCTATTAGTCTGAATTTGTCTGGATTCTGTTCAGTCTTACACTGCTCTGCTTCTCAAAAAGGGTAGTCCCTGAACCAACTGCATAAGCATCAGCTTGTTAGAAATGTAGAACCTCAGGACCTATCCCAGCCTACTGAATCAGAATCTGTATTTTAACAAGTTCTCCAAGTGATTTCTATGTACATTAAGAGTTGAGAAGCACTGTTAAAAGGGAAATGATAAGAATGACTCCTCCATTGGTATCAGGTACTTTCTATAATGTTGGTTGACCGAACCTTCCTTAGCCAACAACAGAGAGGCATAGTTCCCAGGTGGAAATTTTCAGAGGAAAGTGGAGAACCTAGTTAAAGTGAGACATTCTCTCCCCAGTTAGTGTACCTTCCTTGGTAACAAAGCATCTTACTTCTTTCACTTAAAGACTGCTTCGGATTTTGGCTTCCCCGACACTCTATACCAGCTTGGCCCCACGTTATCTCTAGCCACTCATTATATAATGACATTTGCTTGGAGCATTTGTGCAGAACATTGAGATGAGCGTTTTGAGTGTATGTGTATTAGAATGTGTGAAGAGGGAAACAGGAAAACAAGAGGAGGACAGAAGAGCAGACAATTTCAGAAAAGAAATAAAGGAAGTGATCCCTACCTCAAAAGAGCTTATTATCTAGCTGAAGAGATAAAATACACACATTTATCAAATTATTTAAGAAAATTTACAAAGCACAATACTAATGCATGTACAAGACAGTTTACAAACTTCCTACCTAAGTATTATAGAAACGCAAAGTTCATTTCTTTATTTTAACAAGTATTTACTGAGCATCAATGACAAGCTTAGCACTATGTTAGACATAACCTAAGTTATATGGACAAGTTATATCAGAGCAATCTTTCTAAACATTCTAAAGATGGTGAATGTTGACTCCCATTTTGAAGAAAATAATATACCATGAACCAGCAGAAAAAGGAAGTCGTTCAAAATACAACATTTTGTATTAGAAAATATTTATTGTTTCATTCATGAATTCATTTTTCTAAAAAGATTCTTAGGAGCCACACTCATTCATTTCTTTCACTTGTGAATACTTCAGATATTGAACACTTATTGAATACCTATTTTTCAGCAGGTACCAGGAATTTCCCTGAGACAAATAAGCAAATGATTACAAATACATTAAGAAACCGTAATTAGAGTTACTTCAGGAATACACTGGGGAAACAAAAGAGAACGGGGAAGGAAGTCAGATATGACTTCCTAGAGAAGGTGACACTTGAGCTGAGTCCTAAAAGCCAAGAAGTTTTTAACCAGAAGGCAGGGAGAAGGAAAGGGCACTCCAAGCAGTGGGAGTAGCATATGTTATGGAGCTGAAATATGAGTCATCTTGGTATTCTCGGTACTTGAGAGAGTAGCTAGACTATAAGATAGATGGAGGACAAGAACCAGAGCCTTTACACATACTGTTTCCTTTAGGTGAATATCTTTAGATGCATCATGTCCATTTCCATTTCCTCTCTCTCTCTCCCCCTACCACCTCTCCCTCCCTCACATGCACGCGTGTGCGCACACACACACACACATACTTTTTGCCTACTTAGTTCTGGCTTATCCTTCATATTCAAATCATAAATCCTTTATATCAAGGTGGCTTTCCCTGACCCTCCAGGGTAGTTCAGGTACTCTTAGTGTATGCTCTCATTAAATTGTGTTCCTTTCCTTTAGAGTGGTTTTCTTAATTTATATTTATATATTCATTAATGTGACTATTTGATTAACATTAAAATCTTATCTCCCTCACTACCTCAGTGGCTTTAAGAGTTTTGGTTTCACCACACCCATAAAAAGACAGGCACTAAATACATTATACATCAGAAACCAAGGATATACATATAAATATATATGCATAAATATAAATAAACAAAATAAGTTTCTCGAAATAATACTCATCTTTACCATGTGTGATAAAATATATTTTCTATTTTTCATTTAAAAAATTGCTTACAAGATGATTTTAGAGCCCACCTCTATTTGTGTAAAACATTGCAACAAATTGACACTGCATTAAAATAGAAACAGTATCTAGTTTTACTTTGGTTTCCCAGGTGGCTCAGTCATAAAGAATCTGCCTACAGTGCAGGAGACACAGGTTCAACCCCTGGGTCAGGAAGATCCCCTGGAGAAGGAAACGGCAACCCACTCTAGTCTTCTCACCTGGGAAATCCCATGGACGGAGGAGCCTGGGGGGCTACACTCCATGAGGTTGCAAAAGAGTTGGAGATAGCTTAGCGACTACATAACAACTAGTTTTACTCTCTACACTGCCTAGCATCTAGTGTGACACTTATGGCATAGAAGACACTCAGTAGAAATTCAGTGAATAAATGACAGAAATAAAAAAGCCTTCAAGGGTATTATTTTAAAGTATGGTTATTCCCATCTTTATCAACAAGTGAACTGAAGTTTAGAGAAAATTTTAGTAATTTGTTGAAAGTCCTAAGGCTAATAAAAGTCAGAACCAGGATTCACATTCAACTTTTACTCTAAAACCATGCTAACTTCCCCTTGTTCAAGAGGCAAAAAAAAAAGCAAGCGTCTAGGTTGCTTATGGGGAGGCAGAAAGCTGATAATATCTCTAACAGAAAAATAAAAATGTTTATTCAGATTTGAGATGCAATTAGTGCAAAACTCTGAAAGATAATTGACTTAATTTTCTAAAGTAAGAAAATTATGATTAGTTTTAAATACTGAGTGTGGGTATAGATGAAACCAAATTGGTAAAATGTTTGATAATTGTTGAAGCAGTGATTTCTCTATCTGTTTTAAATTGTTTCATTTAAAAAGAAAAAAGAACCCATGAAAGCAGCATAATAAGAATGCCATTCAGGAAAACTGCAGTAGTCTCTTTTTTACAAGTAAACACTGAAAATATTAATACAGTAGGATTCTAAAAAACACCAGAAAGCCAAGAGTTTATTAACTGAGACAAAATCTAAAAAGCACAAGATACAACATCTAGTAAGTAGAAGATACCTAACGTTAATTTTTTGTTCCTCTTCACATTAGATTAACTAAAGCTAGCTATACAAAAAAAGTGACTTATAAGCGGCATTGTATATATAAGCCTTTAGAAAAAATACTGCTTTGCAATCACATAAAGAAACAATGAATTTTATATCTCCTCTCTAAAAGATGGAAAATGCTTTTTATTATTTATAAACATGGCTGCAAATATTATTTAAATATTCATATAAATAGTGTTATCTTTGCTATGTGTGTGCCCCCAGACCCTTGCTGTATGCTGATTACAGGGAGGTAATGGTCATGATCATAAAACTCATTAGGTACATATTGCCTTGCCAGTAGTATTGGTCTGAAATCCACGTCGTATGTGAAGAAAACCCTTTTAAATATATTTATCTTCAGGAGTATTTTTTATCCAGCCATTACTGTACTGTATGTGGGAAAAAATTGGATAAGAAGTTTTCTCCATCTCAATTCTGAAAGTGTTTTCTTCCAGTTTAAAAATAAGCAGTCAATGGAAATTGTGATGCAGCACTGCCTATGTATTTTGTTTTTTTAGCAGCATTTTGATCCTTCATAAAAAAATAATGTATTGGAAATTCAGGGTGTGAGTTTTTAAACCCTAGCTCTATCACCATCACTTGTTAAAGGTACTGAACCTCTTCTACCTGAAATACTTCATTCTGTAACTCATTTCCTTCAATCATCAAATGAAGAATATATGTTCTTCCTAGTTCATGTATAAGTCTACACAAGTGTGTACACACACATCACACATACATACCCTTTTATTTAGGAGGATAGGCTAAAAGAACTTCCTATTTAAAAGTGCAAGAGTGGAAATTATGGAACAACAAGAAAACTGCCTCCAGAGACACCAGGAAAGGGCACATTTAGAACCACTTCTATTGGTCTTGTAAGTTATGGATACCAACGATCTAACTAGTGTAGTATTTTAGTAACAAAACTTTTTTCTAAGCTAGGAGATCAGAAGTGTTCCAATTTCCTGAAGCCTTACCTGATCATTTGAGTCAACTTTTAGAATTCCAAGACTAGGTTCTTATTTCTTGCCATAGGTGCATTCTGATGATTGTTCTTGGTTCTGTTCATCTCACAGCTGCTGATGGCCCAGGAGATCGTTTCATCATTGGAGAATCCCAAGCTGGTGAACAGGTGAGATTCATAGGCCTGAAAAAGGCCCTAAAGATTTTAGTTTCATGGATTTTCAGTCTAATCCTAAACTTCTGCCATTGTTTTTATGGAAATCTTAAAGAAGGATTAGATGGGTCATCAAAGAGATGAAATGATGATTCCCCTGAGAAAGAATCATGAATTCCTTCTCAACTAAAAGAACCTGCCTCTAGTCATATGCAGCATGGACATAGTGTTATTAGTATATCTCACAGACATGCCCCACAAGCATTTTCCAGCCCTGTGATTGGATGAATCTTTCTTCTAGTATAAACATTAATGTTCTGAATAGAGCTATAATTTCTAAGTGGTTTTCTTAGACTTTTCCCCAACTCACTTATAAACAGGAAAACTTAGAACAAGCAAATTATTTAATCTTTCTTGCTAATCATTTTGATTAATTTTACTCATTATGGAGCTTACCAGAAAACGGGTATACATATATTTCTATTAAGAAATGAAGTACTAAAAAAAAAAAAAAGAAGTACTAATGGGCCATGGTGGACATACAATAGAAGTGCTCTTACTGCTTTTGATACTAGTAATTGGTCATTTGATTGGAAATAAGTTACAAGTGGCAAATTATCTTTTAAAATAAATTTAAATTAAATAAATGAACATTTATTTGTCATTAATCTGATGGAGAGCCAAGGCTTTTCTTTTAATAAGTATCTACTATTTGAGTTTCTATTACACCCACAAGGCACTATATGGGATTTCCAGTGTTGGTTTCTTTAAAGTGGAAGAAATTTTAAGGACCTTTGCACAGTGTCTAAGTATAGACTCCTTCTAGATTTTTATTATATTTTTACAGTACTTTTTACAGTTGTTTCACCTACACCTAATTTGACAGGAGTTCTTTTTTAGCAGACTTTTTTAAATGAGATGCTCCAAAGGTTTAGGTTAATTTTTTTAGGAAAAATAGAACTCGTTTTACCCTTATATATCATTGGTTTATAGAATATTTACTTAACTTGGTCAGTAGCAGCTGTCGCCACAAACTGGTACAAACAAGTTTGGGAACAAATAGTTTGCATCTTAGACCAGTAGTTTACAAGGGTCTAACAGTTTCAAACTTAAGAGTGTACTGTAGGCATCATCTTGTTCAGTAGGAAGCATATGTTAATCTAGTGAGCTGTGAAAGTTGATTAAAAGAGCTCTTTCCTTATTTACTACAATCAGAAAAAGACCAGCACACTTTCCTGCTGTCACCAGCACTCATAAGCATTGTATAAAAATAAAGGAGGAAATAATAAATACAGCAGTTAAGCAAAAGCTATGTCCCACACCTTAGCATGTCCTCCCATATGTACTAAAAATAGAGAGGGTTTGAGGAAGTATACAGGAGCATATGATGCTAATGGTGGCAACCCTAGCTCCCTCACCTCTACCAAGGAGTATGTGTACAGAGCTCTGATGCCGAGCCTAGCACTACAATAATTAGATCCTTGTCCATGCTATACATAGGCTGATTTCAGTCTTCATGACTGTTTTCCTGACAAAAAGAACAACTAGTCTTGGGTCCCTTTTTTTTTTATAAATAACTTACATTGTGATGTCATAACTTTCTTGACATCTTGGTATGTATATCCATCAACAATGGACATCTAAAGCATCCATTTTTTAACAAAGCTCCAAAATATTAATTATTCAAGGAATACTTCTCTGATCTTCAGTTGAGTCTATCCAACATTTATCAAGCATACCTACAGTTTGTACCAAGCACTCTGCTAGGTTGTAGGGATTACAACCTAATCTACAAAGTAGATTAATACATGATTAATACTCTGAACAGTTTATATCTAGTGGAGGAAATCGAGTATAAGCAACTAAATATAATACAATATATTAAGTGTTAAACTAATGCTGTCAGTCATGTGCTGTGGAAAACAATAGAGAGGTTAAGCATTTTGTCCTAGAAGGGTTAGGAAAATGACATTGGAGCTGGGTGTAAGAGAGTTTTTACAAAAACAGAAATGAAAAAGGACCATTCCAAGCAGAGAGAATAGTGTAAGTCAAGAGCTAGAAGTGTTTGTGGTAGTCACAGCCTAGTATACTTAGGCATAAGTAGTAGATTGTTAAGAACCTTATGGACCCTTAAACTTTATTACTAGTTATGACTTCCAACTGAAAACTATAAGCACAGAAAAAGTTGTGAAATTTAAAAATTGCCAGCCTCTTGTAAGTTCTCATAAAAGTATGATAGGAAAAAAAGATCAACACTATACAAGAAAACAGGGGTTTTCCTCAAATTACCTGGGATGTATTTTATCTCTAACAGATGTATCATACACATACACACTTTAAAGCAATCTCAGAGATCTTGCAAAAGCCAAATTGCTCACTTAGTGAAAGTACATGTGCTTGAGACCTAGGATGCCACTGCATCCACTAAGACAGTTTTTTATTTACAACATACTTTATTGGTGTATGAAATACTTGATCTTAGTCCCTTACCATTTGGTCCTATTGATTAACATTCAATATCAATTCACTCACTCAGTCGTGTCCTACTCTTTGCGACCCCACGAACTGCAGCACTCCAGGCCTCCCTATCCATCACCAACTTCTGGAGTCCACCCAAACCCATGTCCATTGAGTCGATAATGCCATCCAACCATCTCATCCTCTGTTGTCCCCTTCTCCTGCCCTCAACCTTTCCCAGCATCAGGGCCTTTTCAAATGAGTCAGTTCTTCACATCAAGTGGCCAAAGTATTGGAGCTTCAGCCTCAACATCAGTCCTTCCAATGAACACCCAGGACTGATCTCCTTTAGGATGGACTGATTGCATCTCCTTGCAGTCCAAGGGACTCTCAAGAATCTTCTCCAACACCACAGTTCAAAAGCATCAATTCTTCGGCACTCAGCTTTCTTCACAGTCCAACTCTCACATCCATACATGACTACTGGAAAAACCATAGCCTTGACTAGATGGCCCTTTGTTGGCAAAGTGATGTCTCTGCTTTTTAGTATGCTGTCTAGGTTGGTCATAACTTTCCTTCCAAGGAGTAAGCATCTTTTAATTTCATGGCATTGGACACTTTCAATTTCACTTATGCAATTATGAAGTGCTATCTTTGGACAAAGTTCAAAAAATCCAACTCAATACCTCTATTAAGGAAAAATCAAGATTTTGATAGTTTTTATTTTATATAAAGTATATGAAGTATAAAAATTAAAAAGAGTATTCTTAGCAATCTATAGGAAGTACTTCATATATTGTTAGAGTTTTTCCAGTTGATTCAATTCAATTGCTGTTTATATGTCTACTCTCAGTGGATATATAAATATCTTTGTATATCTGGGAATATGTTTTACGTTGGGTTTAATATAAGTGAGTTGGTAGGAATCCTTCAGCTAGCACTTAGAATTACTGTTTTGGGATAGGAGCCAAATTTTTTAATAGCAACTCAGAAAACACTTCTTAAGACTTGGTTTAAGCCAAGAAGTAGAGAAAATTACAGGTATAACCACATTAAAACTTAAAGTAAATTTGCATAATATGGTACATTGATCCAGACTAAATTGAGGTAGCCTGCAGGCTAACACTTCAGCTTAAGAAGCAACTACCTGAAACTCAGTTTGGGATTCACTTTCCCAAAAAGGCAATTGCAGCAGGAAAAAGTCTTTAAGTCTGCATTAAATATTTTAATTGCACAAGCTCATAAGATAGTTTTGACATTAACACCTGTACTAAAAAACAAATATATCAAAACATTCATGCTTTTCATAAAAAAATCACTACACTGCAAAATGGTCATGTTTAGTGAATTAAGAAATGGACCAGATAATAAGCAGGATCCAGCACTGAAAAAACAAATTAGTGCATTGGGCCCTAAGTTGTTTTTTTTTAATTCTATGTATTATCTTGGTAGAAAATTACAGTGTTGTTGTTCAGTCGCTCAGTCATGTCCGACTCTTTGCAACCCCATGGACTGCAGCACACCAGATTTCCCTGTCCTTCACCATCTCCAGGAGCTTGCTCAAATTTGTGTCAAGTTGGTGATGCTATCTAACCATCTCATCCTCTGTCATCCCCTTCTCCTCCTGCCATTAGTCTTTCCCAGCATCAGGGTCTTTTCTAATGAGTCAGCTCTTCACATCAGGTGGCCAAATTATTAGAGCTTCAACTTCAGCATCAGTCCTTCCAATGAACATTCAGGAATGATTTCCTTTAGGAACTGACTGGTTTGATCTGCTTGCAGTCTAAGGGTCTCTCAAGAGTCTTCTCCAAAACCACAGTTCAAAAGCATCAGTTCTTCAGTGCTCAGCCTCCTTTATGGTCCAGCTCTCACATCCATACATGACTACTGGAAAAACCATACCTTTGACTACACGGACCTTTGTTGGCAAAATAATGCCTGCTCTTTAATATGCTGTCTAGGCTTGTCAGACAAACCCTGGTAGCTAAGCTGGTAAAGAATCCACCTGCAATGCAGGAGACCTGGGTTCGATCCCTGGGTTGGGAAGATCCCCTGGAAAAGGGAACAGCTACCCAATCCAGTATTCTGTCCTGGAGAATTCCATGGACTGTATAGTCCATGGGGACTCAAAAAGTTGGACACAACTGAGCGACTTTCATTTTGAAGGTTTGTCATAACTTTTCTTCCAAGGAGCAAACGTCTTTTAATTTCATGGCTGCAGCCACCATTTGCAGTGATTTTGGAGCCCAGGAAAATAAAGTCTGTTTCCATTGTTTCCCCATCTATTTGCTGTGAAGTGAGGGGACCAGATCCCATGATCTTCGTTTTTTGAATGTTGAATTTTTAAACCAACTTTTTCACTCTCCTCTTTCACTTTCATCAAGAAGCTCTTCAGTTCCTCTTTGCTTTCTACCATAAGGGTAGTGTTATGTGCATATCTGAGGTTATTGATATTTCTCCTGGCAATCTTGATTCCAGCTTGTGCTTCATCCATCCCAGCATTTCACAAGATGTACTCTGCATATAAGTTAAATAAGCAGGGTGACGATACCCAGCCTTGATATACTCCTTTTCCCAATTTGAAACCAGTTCATTGTTCCATGTCTGTTTCTAATTGTTGCTTCTGGACCTGCATACAGGTTTCTCAGGAGACAGGTAAGGTGGTGTGGTATTCCCATTTCTTTAAGAATTTTCCACAGTTTTTTGTGATCCACACAGTCAAAGGCTTTAGTATGGTCAGTGAAGCAGAAGTAGATGTTTTTTTGGAACTCTCTTGCTTTTTCTATGATCCAGCAGATGTTGGCAATTTGATCTCTGGTTCCTCTGCCTTTTGTAAATCCAGCTTGAACATCTGGAAGTTTTCAGTTCACATACTGTTGAAGCCTAACTTGGAGAATTTTGAGCGTTACTTTGCTAGCGTGTGAGATGAGTGCAGTTGTGCAGTAGTTTGAACATTTGATTACATTAGAATATAATATTTCTGAATAAACCTGAAATGTCTCTTATTCAAATATCAGAATAAGAGGATATAAAGTACATAGATCAATGCCAGATCTGATCTCAAGAATCTTTCTCCAATGACTTGTTGGAAAAAATTAATGAGATCACTGGAATTGTAAGCCAAGAAGGATTACATGCTTCATGTAGTTGTTGTGATAATGAGATTGTGCATGTTTATTCATTCCTTCTGGAAATATCTATTGACTGCCAACTTTGTGCCAGATACTCTCTAGGCTTTGGGATGATAGAGCAATAAATATGTCTGCAAAGGGAGTAATTAAAGATGAATGCAAGTACTCTACAGAAGATATAGACAGGATTAAAGGAAACTAACAAAGGAATGTGAAACATTCAGGTGCTAGCAACAATAAGATTTCATTCCCACGTTTAGGTCTGAAGGGGCAAAGAGAGAGAGAGTGGTACCTGGACCTAGGGAGATTGATAGCTATGGGAGAAGGCCACCTAATAGGAAATGTGGCATCAGTGCTATTAGATATGACATAGCCATCACCAAACTGCAACCCAGCAGGGAAGGAGCACAGGGAATAAAAATTGTACTTCTCTCTCTCTCCTACCTTCTAGTCTCTTGTTGTTCAGTCACTAAGTCTGTCCAAGTTTTTACACCCCCACGGTCTGCAGCATGCCAGTCTTCCCTGTCTTTCTCTGTCTCCCAGAATTTGCTCAAACTCTGCACCAACCATGAGTTGGTGATGCCATCCAACCATTTTGTCCTCTCTCACCCGCTTCTCTTCCTGCCCTTGGTCTTTCCCAGCATCAGGTTTTTCTCCAGTCTCTTGTTAGCCCCTCCCACTGACTGAACTTAACCAGAAGCCAGAGCGATGGGAACCTGGTTGAAACAATACACAGAGATCGGCCTCTAGGCCACAGCACAGGACAGAAAATAATGATGTGATCTAAAGAGGCAAACAGAAAATGAAACAGATTTCTGTCTTTATAGGGCTTATATTCTGAAACATAATAATGCACTTAACCTTAAGCCTAGCGTAGACTGTGTATTCCACAAATATTAGCTATTGGTTGCATTATTTGCAGCAATAACGTTATAGAAATAAGCTTCTTAAGGCTTTTCTAACAAATTTCCAGTTTTACTTTGATTGTACATTTAGTGGAAGGATAGTTTTCCTTAATCATTCCTTTTTTTTTTTAATGTGGTGAAAAATGTGTAACATAAAATGTACTATCTCAACCATTTTAAAATGTACAGTTGTTTTAGATTATATATTTGCTAGACTTTTATTAATTGCGTGGTACACTAATATATTTTATAAAGATTTTCAAGAACAATAGTTAAAATTTTTTCTGGTTTACCTTTATTTAACCAAAGTGTTGGTTAATAAAGTACTATATTTCTCAAACATCAGAACTTCTGCAAATGATCAACATGCTGGTTTTTCATAATTGTCATTCATAGAAATCATATTGCATGGCATTTTTTAAAGACTGTCCTATCACTTTACATATATTAAGAAAATTCACACTGAGTGAGAGGCAGTAGTGGCAAATATAAATGACAGCTCTTCAGAAAGAAAGCGGGGCACCAGGAAAGACATCTACTAGTCACCACCTTAAGTCAAGTGAAAGCCTCTTTGGTGTAAGTGTACCTGTTTGACTTTTACTATATTTTCCCAAAATGAATAAGACTCTCCTTTCATGAAGGTGAAAAAAAAAGAAAGTATTAGTCACTCAGCCATGTCCAACTCTTCGTGACCTCGTGGACTGCAACCCGCCAGGTTTCTCTGTCCATGGGATTCTCCAAGTGATAATATTGCAGTGGGTAGCCATTTCCTTCTCCAGGGGATCTTCCTTTTATAGTCTGTTTCAAAAACTGTTACATCTTCAAGAGTTTCCTTTGTAGGAGCAAAGTAAATCATCTCTTTCTTGTGTGTTTCTATTTCCAGCCGACTCAGACAGTAATGCCAGGACAAGTCATGCGGGTTACAACAGGTGCTCCAATCCCCTGTGGTGCTGATGCAGTAGTACAAGTGGAAGATACTGAACTTATCAGGGAATCCGATGATGTACGTCATTACCAGGTCTTATGGCTTCATTCCTGTGGCAGTATTATAAGTCATGTCTATTTTCTGCAATGGTTATGAGACGATCCAAATTTTTTTATGTTAGGACCTTACATTGTAGTGTATAGTGAATAAGGAAATACCTTAAGCTTGAAAACCTTTTATTATAGAAATTGTTTTTATGACCATTACTGGGATTACAGCAGTATTTGAACCACATTTGAGCCAAGAAATTGCATTTGCAAGCAAAGAAAGAAACTACCTGAAGACAAAAGAGCAGTGATTTTAACTGTTGTCCAACCATCTAGCAGAGAAATTTGCTCATCAAGACTAGCTTCTGATAAAATGTGAAGATTTTAATAGAGAAGAATTTGACAAAGAACATTTGGGCAAGTTCTTGAATACTTCACTAAGCCAAGCATTTAAACCAAATGACCCTTTCAGCTTTGGTTTTCTATAATTCAGGAAAATTTGTGCCACCAAATTGCAGTCTGGAAACATTAAATTTATGTCAATTCCTCCTCTATTTCCTAAAATAAAGGGCTCTTTTCTTTTATAAAGAAAGGCCTCTAAGTAGGCCTTTATCTCACTGAAACTACTGGCAGTTATTGAATCCAGAGGATCAGTCAGGAATAAAAGTTTCAATGGAGGATTTACTGATTTTGTTTTGTGAAGAAGTTTAAGATATCTTGTATTTTTTAATACAAGAATAAATGACAAAATATATTCTCCCAGACTGGATTCTCCCAGACAAATTTGGCCATGCTGAGACATACCCTCTTTTCTTCATTTGAGGATTTTCCTTTTTATCACCCACAGGTACTTACTTCCCACAAGTAAGGCTTACAAAATTCAACTCTTGGCATACAAGTCACATTGTCCTGCTATTAAAACTACCCAACAAATTTATTGGCATCAAGGAAGCCAGTGGAGCATTGAAATCCAGAACACAGTCTGCCAGATGACAAGACACAGTTCCAATATCACAATATTAGTCACAGTTCATAAATGTAAAAATTATGATCACCATTAATTTATAGAAATCTACTACCAGGCAAACTATAAGTCCTTCACTGAAATTTCTACAGATATTTGGGAATCTTGGCATAGTATTGAACCCATGATTTATGGGAACAGAATAGTTACCTCCACACACATTCACTGTATCTATTAGGGTAGAAATCTCTCTCTTTCTCTGTGTGTGTGTGTGTGTGTGTATATATATATACACACACCTTGTGTATGTATTTTTCCTTGTGAATGCTATTTACAAAGTATGAGTCAACATTTGAATTGGTACATTTTTTTAAAGTATGAGAATCAGTGAAAATGTTTACTTGTTCTTTGGGATCAAGCCTAATTTTTCAGGAACCTGTGGTAGAAATTCATCATATTCAAAGAATTTCGCAAAGGATTTCCTGTTCCTCTGTATCTTTATATATTCTGAGCCTATCTGATAATGAAAGCATCTGAATAGCTAAATTCTATTGATCGAAATTCAATCACATTGCTCTGTTTGAAATTATATGATTTGCTGTTACCATAGGGCACAGAGGAGCTTGAAGTACGAATTCTGGTACAAGCTCGGCCAGGCCAAGATATCAGGTAAGTTCATAATGCATAGAATGTATAGCCAACTTCTGTTTCTGCCATGACCATGAACTCAGGAGAGCATGGCTATTATAAAATCACAGCTCAGTCAATTAGCCATTAGCGTTCAGGGATTTTAACCAGTAGCAAAATGATTTTCTAAATTATATATCCCATGTCTGCCTTACCTACTTTTGTCTGAAGTTAGTAAAGGCAAATGATTTATTCAAAAGCAACATGAGAAGGAGGCAAAGTCATGATAAGCCTGCATAATCCATAGTTGATCCTATTCTAGATTATCCAGAATTTCCCATCCTTACCCCTAGGTAACTGAGAATTTGATATTAACACAGATACTTTCAAAGTTGAGCATTTGTATAATTAGCTGAAAGCCCCTCCTCAACTACCAATAATAATGGAATAATGTGCTACTCTTTGTATACAAAGTTGAAACTACTGTCTTATTATAAGTAGTGTATATCCTTCAGATGATTTTTCTCATGATTGAATATGTTTGCCCTGATTACATTAGTCCTAATTTACTCAACATTTTGTAACAAAGCTACACTTCTTCCACTCCTATGGGGCAAAGTGAATGGGGTGGCCACAGAACTGGACCAGTCTAAGTGGTCTAATGGAAATTATCTCCATGGCTGTAACCTCATTAGCATTATTCTCTTCACCACAATGCTAACAAGCTCTGGAATGGCATTAGATATTTTCATATAAATGCCTGCCTTACACCAAAGAAAGTTTGCAGTTGGTGTTTTTGACTATAATGTGTTACAAAGCAATTTGTAAAATAATTTTCAAACATAAAGTAGCATATTCCTGTTTAACAGCAATAGATACAAATCTATTTCTGTCTTCCATTGTGTGATTTAAATTTTTTTAATTAAAAAAGCATAGAGTTTAAAAATCCCTTTGTTTTAGTACTCTGTTCCATGCCTCATTTCCCCTTTTCCCCCTTGAGCGCCCTCTTTCTCTGACACTAAAGTTTTCCTCTGAGTTGAGAAAATATTGTTCTTAGTCATACTGCTTATGGTTCTGCTTTGATTTTTCAGACCCATTGGCCATGACATTAAAAGAGGGGAATGCGTTTTGGCCAAAGGAACCCACATGGGCCCCTCAGAGATTGGTCTTCTGGCAACTGTAGGTGTTACAGAGGTTGAAGTTAATAAGTTTCCAGTGGTTGCAGTCATGTCAACAGGGAATGAGGTAAAAAAGGCGGGGGGAGGGGCAGGTTGTGGCAAGGGAAGGGAGATAGTGGGACTTTCAGAGAAAAGCATTTCTGACATTATGTGTTCTATATTATAAATAGAATATTAAGGATTATAGATCTTACCACATTTCTATAACAAGGGAATAATAAATGGGCCTCGGGATAGCTCAAGTACAGAAGATGAAAAGGAAGAACTAGAAATTATACATTAAGAAGTGCTCCCTTCCATTTACTAGAATGAAATATTACAACCAATGGCCTTCCACAAACTCAGTACATATAAACAGAGAATGTTGACTGCTAGCTTTAGATACTCAGCTGTGCAAACCTAGTACTTAGCCTACTGGTATAGTGAATCGTGCCTGCTCTGCTGCTGAAATGATGGGCCACCACTGTGTGAGAAGTAATTCAATGAATTGGGACATCATGGCTAGCCCTTTTTCTTGCTTAACATTCCATGTGATCTTTAGTCACCAGGAAGGATTTTAAAATCATTTTTCTCTCTAAAGATAGCATCTCTAGTGGCATGCTATTCAGAATATGTCAAAATGTCATTTCAGTCCTAATTTAGGAAGGGAAATTTAGTCAGTATTATGAGAACTTTTGAAAAACTTTCTGTTACCTCTTTGCTTAGGTTATACAGAACTTCAATTAGAGGCTATAAGGCCAAACTAGGAATATTGAAAAGTGAATCTGCTGGAAATTCAAAGCCTAAAAGCAGAATCAGAAACTACTGAGATTTTTTCAAGTTATTCCTTAAGATCTTATACTATTTTTAAAAAGATTAACAGGATTTTTTTTCTATCTCTCTTTTAATCTCTAACGTTCTGAAAATAAGCCATTTGCTACCATTATTTTTCATTTCTTAGACTTGGAAATGGACATTTTCAAAAGTCTATTGCCCTTATAGCTCTTTTGGAAAGGACAGAAGAAAAGAATATTTTGTTTTGATAATGAAGAGATAAATCAGCATTCTACATCTGTTTACTTCCCAGTATAGGTGTACTAATCATTCCCTAAAACTATTGACTGACCCAAAAGAAACATTCTTTTCAGTTGATCTACACAGTGATGATTTTCTGTCCTAAACACTATGTTTAGCTTCAGAAAGAAATTTCTGTTCAACTTATTGACCTAATAAACTGTTCTTATTTGAGATTTATGTATATGCTTTGTGCACCTAAATGACTTCATGGGGCTTAGGAAAGCTAGGTAGAATGAACAAACTAATAGACAGCTATTTATTAGGCAATTTTGTGTAAGCTACATTTTTTGTTTTCCTTCTAATGACTTTGTAGGTCTGGATTCTCAGTTACTCCCCCAGAGTACATTGGCAGTATTTTTTAAGCTACCTTTCATACTCTTTACTAAAACTATTTACTAGTAGTAGGGAATAGTGACAGGATGAGACTAGAGATGGTACATACATGGTAGAACCTAAAGAAGATTTTGTAGTTTTAGTACTCTGCCCCCATAGACTTGGTTATCTGTGAGGAGGCTTTGATAGATCTTGTGTGACCCTCTTTCGCTACGTTTTCTGGCCTGCTGTACTTACATGGTTTTCCCGGGGAATAATGCTTTTAAATCCCATGATCTCTAGTTCCGTGTAGTTTGACATTCCTCCCTGTGCTGTGCTTGCTTAGTTGCTCAGTCATGTCTGACTGTTTGCAACTCCATGGACTAGCTGACCAGGCTCCTCTGTCCTTGGAGATTCTCCCGGCAAGAATACTGGTGTGGGTTGCCATGCCCTCCTCCAGGGGATCTTCCCAACCCAGGAATCAAACTGGGGTCTCCTGCATTGCAGGCAGATTCTTTACCAGCTGAGCTACCAGGGAAGCTCTGACATTCCTCCCTACTCCCATCCAAAGTTAGCTGTCATTAAATTTATGACTCTCTGTCACCATGTAGTCCAACAAATGTTTATTGGGTACTTCTATGCCAGACACTATACAGGAAACTAGAGATAAAAGAGATAAATAAAGCATAGTATCTCTCCTGAAGGCTTGAGATCCTTAGATAGCCAGAAAACAATAAGAAAAAAATTGTTCATTTATTTCAAAGAAGCCAAAAGTAATTACATTTGTATATTAATGTGATAAGTCTATAATTTACTCACTCAAAGCACAAGCTCCACTTAAGTATTAGTTCTGACTTCTCCTGATATGTATGGCTTCACATATGCCACCTCTTGAATCCAGTGTGGTATATTGATAAGCAGAACAGTAGCCTTAGGCAACCCGAAGAATGCCATACGAGATGTCTGTGTAGACTCACTCAGAACCTGCTCTGTATTTTGTGACTACATGAGCTTATTCAGGATGAAGGAATTATTTTAAAATTGGGAAGCCAGAGTTGCAAACTATAACTCACACAGAATAGGTGGTGTAGACGTTTGTTAATTTTGACAAACTGTGCATGTTAAAATTTAAGTAATAGCATCCAGTAGTTAAATAATTGTGGTCATACATTTCCATCCTCATGCATTTGCTCAATAAATATTTGTTGAGCATCTGTTATATGCTGAAATACCCACCAGAGGTTCTCTTAACTAAACATCAGACTTACAAGATATGAATAATCTATACCTTGAACTAGTTTCCTGAGATATTAAAAAGGAAACTCAGCATTAAGGAGGGGAGCATCAGGCTTTCTTCAGTGGGACCAGTCATCATAGTACTTCACACAGCCATCCAACAACTGTTCTCTTTGTTCTTCAAGTAACATTTAGGTGCAGGAAACAAGAGTTCTACTAGGAGAGTATGAGGGCCATCAGCATAAAAGCACCATGCCCTACATAGGAATCAGTGTTTCTTATAATAATCTTAGGCAGTTTGTAGAGTCTCTACAAGGGAAATACCCAGTTTCAAATGTCACCATATCCATGGAAGACCAAAGCCTGGCTTTCCATTATGGATTCATTTGTAATCCTTTCTATTCCATTCACAAGTTACTATTCAGAGATCATTTTTACCATTAAAAATGCTATCTACTAACAAGTTGACCTTTTTCTTTGTCACATTTCCAGAGAAACTGAGCTGGAAAGTTAACCCAAGTTCAAATTTTTCCTTAGAGATGGAGAAAGGATTTTGTTAATCTTTAACCTCACATAAAAGAATGCACTGTCTGCAGAAAATTAGAAAACAGTAGTAAAACTAACTGCAAGTCATTCTGTTCTTTATTATCAGCATGCACTGGCAATTCTAAACAATGTCAGTGATAAAATATTCCTTTCCACTGAGGCAGTCATTCTTACAACCCCTCCTCTCTCACTGTGCTGTCATACTGATGCCAGGCACTATTCTGACTACTGGAGATGACAGCAGGAAACAAGACAGGTGAAGCCCCTGCTCTTATAGGATTTGTGTTCTGATGGAGGAGGGGGATAGTCAATAAACAAACAGTGGTAAATTGTATGAATTTTTTTTTCATCTATTTTTATTAGTTGGAGGCTAATTACTTCACAACATTGCAGTGGGTTTTGTCATACATTGACATGAATCAGCCATGGAGTTACATGTATTCCCCATCCCGATCCCCACTCCCACCTCCCTCTCTACCCGATTCCTCTGGGTCTTCCCAGTGCACCAGGCCCAAGCACTTGTCTCATGCATCCAACCTGGGCTGGTGATCTGCTTCACTATAGATAATATACATGCTGTTCTCTCGAAATATCCCACCCTCGCCTTCTCCCACAAAGTCCAAAAGTCTGTTCTGTATATCTGTGTCTCTTTTTCTGTTTTGCATATAGGGTCATCATTACCATCTTTCTAAATTCCATATATATGTGTTAGTATGCTGTAATGTTCTTTATCTTTCTGGCTTACTTCACGCTGTATAATGGGCTCCAGTTTCATCCATCTCATTAGAACTGATTCAAATGCATTCTTTTTAATGGCTGAGTAATATCCCATGGTGTATATGTACCACAGCTTCCTTATCCATTCGTCTGCTGATGGGCATCTAGGTTGCTTCCATGTCCTGGCTATTATAAACAGTGCTGTGATGAACATTGGGTGGTAAATTGTATGAATTTTTAAAGCAGAGTAAGGTGATAAAGATTGCTAGTAGAAGAGATATATGCCAGGTATATAATAATTGTAATTAATATAATCAATTATTCATTATATTCAATTCTATTGAATAATGTAATTATATTCAATATAAATCTGTTTAAACTTATTCCAATATCAACCCTTTTATTCTCTCCCTGATACAATAAAACTGGAAGCCTGAAAACACAATTTCTCAGGCTCTCTTTCCCTGTGGTCCAGGTAGGTTTTGGCATTGGGATGCATTAACATGATATTAGAAGGTGGAATAAGGCAGCAGCAGTAGAATCTCCTCAACTCAGTAGCATCTCTCTTCTCCAGCAGCCCCGGGGACAGTGGTGACTTCTGGCAGTTACTGATCTTTAGTCATATACTTTTCTTCTTTTGTTTCTCCAACTTGGCAACACACTTATAACCAGTCCCATGCATTAAATCCTCTCTTTTCCCACTCTCTCCATTTGAAAGAACTGAAGGAGTTTTGATTTTCGTGTCTGGACCTGACTGGCAGGCAGATAAGAGTCCTCTGTTTTACAAAGACTAATTAGGCCTCACTGATGAGGGAAATCAGAGTGGAAATCTGAAGACATGCCATGTGACTAGAATTGTGTTCCAAGCAGAGGGAATGACAAACGCAAAGGCCCTGGAGTATGGTGCATGCTTATCGTGTTTAAGGAACAGCAGTGAAGCCAATGTGGGAGAAGAATAGAGGGAAGGTAGCACAGTGAGAGGAGATGAAGTTGGAGAGGTAACAGAAAGAAGATCCTTTTATCCTAAATAGACAGTTTTGAGGAAGTGGAACATAAAATATCTTAACTTTGCAAATGCTTACTCTGTCTTCTGTATGAGTGACTTGGCATGTGTGAGGGAAAAGGTGAAAGGCCGAGAGGCCCATTGAAAGGCTGTGGAGATTTGGACCAGAATGATAGTGGAGATGTTGAAAAGTAATC